CATAACACCCCTGGGACCCCCCATAACACCCCTGGGACCCCTAAACCCTGCCCAGGACCCCCCAAACTTCCCCTGGGACCCCACAAACCTCACCTGGGACCTCCCAAACTTTCCCTGGGACCCTCCAAACCTCCCCATAACCTCCTAAACCACCTCTGGGACCCCCAGACCCCTCCATAACATCCCTGGGATCCCCCCAAACCACCCCTGGGATCCCCCAAACCACCCCTGGGATCCCCAAAACCACCCCTGGGACCCCATAAACAATCCTTGGGACCCCATAACACTCCAGAGGTCCCCGTAAACAACCCCATAACATTCCAGAGATCCCCATAAAACCCCCTGGGATGTCCTAAACCACCTCAGAGACCCCCTAAACCACCCTTGGGACCCCCTAATGCTCGAGGGATCCCCATAACATCCCTGGGACCCCCTGAACCACCCCCTTTTCCCACCATTTAAGGGTTTAGATTGAAGGAAGACCTTCTTTACGTACTATATTAGGGCTCTAAGTTGAGAGGGAAGCTTCTTATGCAGTTGATTTTAGGCTTAAATCGAGGGGAGAAAAGGGCGGGAATCGTGAGGGGAAAAAAGGGCGGGAACCGTGAGGGAAGAAAAGGGCGGGAATCGTGAGGGGAAAAAAGGGCGGGAAAACGTGAGGGGGGAAAAAAGGGCGGGAATTGTGAGGGGAGAAAAGGGCGGGAAAACGGGAGGGGAGAAAAGGGCGGGAATCATGAGGGGAAAAAAGGGCAGGAATCGTGAGGGGAGAAAAGGGCGGGAATCGTGAGGGGAGAAAAGGGCGGGAAAATGTGAGGGGAAAAGGGGAGGGCTGGGTCACCTGAGGGGTTTTGGAGGGTCACTAAGGGGCCTCAGGGGATGCTGAGGGATCCAGGGGTGCAGTGAGGGGTTTGGGGTGCTCTGAGGGGTTTGGAGTCTTCACGTCAAGGAGCTCGGGAGAACTCTGGGGGATGCTGCTCCAAGGTCTCCACAACCTGGATTCTCACAGTGAGCCGGCCTCAAATTCCGCCCCGAGGAGGGTGGGGAGGTGGGATTGCTCCTAAAATCACGCCTAAAATCCTTCCTCCGAAAAGAACGGCCTGTGCTGGGCTGAACTGTGGGGACCCCTCCTCTTAAAGGGCCAGAGGCTTCACCCCCAATGCTGGGGAGGATCTTGGGGGAGGGTTGGAAAGGTCCGTGCCTCAGTTTCGCCCTGCAGGTGACACGATAAGGGGTTCGTGCCTCAGTTTCCCCCTCTGGGTGACAAGGGGGGATTTCGTGCCTCAGTTCCCTCTGCAGGTGACACTGTGAGGGGCCCGTGCCTCAGTTTCCCCCTGTATGTGACATGGGGAGGGGTCCGTACCTCAGTTTCCCCCTGCAGGAGACATTGGGGGGGATTCCGTGCCTCAGTTTCGCCCTGCAGGTGACATTGGGGGGGATTCTGTGCCTCAGTTTCCCTCTGCAGGTGACATTGGGGAGGGGTCTGTGCCTCAGTTTCCCCCTCTGGGTGACATTGGGGGGGGTCCGTGCCTCAGTTTCCCCCTGTATGTGACATGGGGAGGGGTCCGTACCTCAGTTTCCCCCTGCAGGAGACATTGGGGGGGATTCCGTGCCTCAGTTTCGCCCTGCAGGTGACAAGGGGAGGGGTCCGTGCCTCAGTTTTCCCCCTTGGGTGACATTGGGGGGGTCCGTGCCTCAGTTTCCCCCTCTGGGTGACATGGGGAGGGGTCCGTGCCTCAGTTTCCCCCTCTGGGTGACATTGGGGGGGGTCCGTGCCTCAGTTTCCCCCTTTGGGTGACATGGGGAGGGGTCCGTGCCTCATGGGGGGAAACTGGGAGAAGTTGGGGGGGATACTGGGGGCAAACTGGGAGAAATTGGGGGGGATACTGGGAGGAAACTGGGAGGAAACTGGGAGAAATTGGGGGGAAATACTGGGAGGAAACTGGGAGAAGTTGGAGGGGATACTGGGAGAAATTGGGTGGGATACTGGGAGATACTGGGGGGGATACTGGGAGGGAAACTTGGAGAAATTGGGGGGATACTGGGAGAGGAAACTGGGAGAGGAAACTGGGAGAACTGGGAGGGAAACTGGGAGCACTGGGAGAGGAAGCTGGGAGATTGAGGGGGGATACTGGGAGATATTGGGAGGGGAAACTGGGAGATTATGGGTGAGAAACTGGGAGAACTGGGAGAGAAGGACTGGGAGTACTGGGAGGGGATACTGGGAGTACTGAGAGAGGAAACTGGGGGGATTTGGGGGAGCAGAACTGGGGATACTGGGGGAATTGGGAAGGGAAACTGGGAGATGCTGGGAGGAGAAACTGGGGGACTGGGAGAGGAAACTGGGATGAACTGGGAGAGGAAACTGGGGGAACTGGGAGGGGAAACTGGGAGAGGAAACTGGGAGATACTGGGATGAACTTGGAGGGGGACTGGGGATACTGGGATGAACTGGGGATACTGGGATGAACTGGGGAGTGAGACTGGGGATACTGGGATGAACTGGGGAGGGAGACTGGGGATAGTGGGATGAACTGGGATGAACTGGGGATACTGGGATGAACTGGGGAGTGAAACTGGGGATACTGGGGGATACTGGGATGAACTGGGAGGGGGACTGGGAGTACTGGGGAGACTGGAGATACTGGGATGAACTGGGGAGTGAAACTGGGGATACTGGGGAGACTGGGAAGTGAAACTGGGGATACTGGGATGAACCCAGGTGAGACCCCTCCCCACATTTGGGGGGACCCCCAAAACTCGGGGAGACCCCCAAAAATCGGGGAAGGGCCAGGGATGTTGGGGAGACCCCAAGTTTGGGGCGTTTTGGGGGGTTTTGGGAGGCTGAGGGGGCCTGCCACAGCCTGGAGCCCACCTCCAACGCCCAGGTGAGACCCCTCCCCACATTTGGGGAGACCCCCAAAATTCGAGGAAGGGTCTAGGAGATTGGGGGGACCCCAGGAGACCCCAAATCTGGGGGGTTTTGGGGGCCTGAGGGAGGGTTTAGGGGCAGGTAGAGGCAAATTTTTGGACGAAATTTTAGAATTTTCTCCCCCCC